TTCTCTTCCCCTCTCCACAACAGACACCCTGTGAGATGGGTGAGGCGGAGAGAGCTCTGACAGAATTGTCCTTGAGAGAACAGCTCTGACAGAACTATGGCTTGCCTAAGGTCATCCAGCAGCTGGATGGGGAATCAACCCGGTTCTCCCAGATTAGAGTCCGCACACTTAACCACTACACCAAACTGGCCCAGTGGGGTGTAGTGGTTAAGAGTGGTGGACTCTAATCTGGGGAACTGGGTTCGATTCCCCACTCCTCCTCTGCATGAAGCCTGCTGGGTGACCTTGGGCCAGTCACCGTTCCCTCAGAACTCTCTCAGCTCCACCTGCCTCACAAGGTGCCTGGTGTGGGGAGAGGAAGGGAACATGATTGTAAGCCTCTTTGAGACTCCTTACGGTAGAGAAAAGTGGGGGGTATAAAACCCTGCTCTTCTTCTCTCTCTTCTCTTTGCCTGTGCCCTTCAGGCAGGACTTCCCCTGTTCCTAGCAGTACTAGAAAAGGTGATTCAATATGGTGGATGAGGTCAGCCATGTTTGGTGGGGCACAGGGCTCTACTGGTAGCAGGAGCTCCTTTGCATATTAGGCCACACACCCCTAGTGTAGCCAATCCTCCAAGAGCTTACAGTAGCCCCAGTAAGAAGAGCTCTGTAAGCTCTTGGAGGATTGGCTACACTAGGGGGCGTGGCCTAATATGCAAAGGAGCTCCTGCTACCAGTAGAGCCCTGGGCACGCTGTTAGCTTAGTCACGCAAGAGCACTGCCATGCTAAGTTGACATCTATGCTGCAATCCACAGAACCACATTACCTCTCTTTTGTTTCACTTTATTTCTCGTCCATTAATTTTTTTTGTTAATTATTTAAAACACGTACATACATGTCCATTCAGAACATGTATCCCCATTTCTGTGCTCTCCAGTGAGGCTGGCTGAAATTGTTATACTGTTTAAGGAATGGACACAAGCCAATGGAACGTCCTTTCTCTCTGCCTCTACGGCTTCTGAGCAAATTCTATTTTTCACGCCAGCTACCTAGAATCAAAGCCTCCTCAAGCCTGGATCAGGTATGGCTGACAGGTCAAAGTCCTGCCTATCTTCTGAAAGCTATCAGTCCCCTTTTAAAACTGGTTGGAATGTTCATGGAACCGGTAACAGCCAATGAGAGCCACTGGAACCTTGACAGAACAAAGAGGAGGAGGGAGAGTGAAAAACAGCCATTGTTCTCCAGAAAGGGCTCAGCTGCCAGTGAGGCACGTGGGGGATTAGGGTTGCTAACCTCCAGGTGGCACCTGGAGATGTCCCACTATTGCAGTGGATCTCCAGATGACCGACATCAGTTCCCCTGAAGAAAATGGCTGCTTTGGAAGGTGGACTCAGTGGCATTACACCCCAATGACGTCCCTCCCTCTTGCAGACCCCACCCTTCCCTTCTCAGGCCCCAAACCTCCCAAATCTCCAGGTATTTCCCAACCCAGAGTTGGCGACCTAATCCTGGGTCTCCTTGGAAGAAACACTGTGACGTAAGTTAACATTTGGTTGTATCCTACCACTCTGCTAACAACACTGAAGGTTTCCTCTAGAGCAAGGAGCCTTTCTCCAATGGATGTGGCTCTTTGACTTGAAGAGGAGTCTTGTGACATCCTCCTTATTGGGGAGGACTATTTTCACTTTAAAAGTTCTCTTTATTATGTTTAATTGGGTAGATTCTGCTGCCACCAGGAAATTTTAAGGATTTCCAAACCTTTATGCTTCTACTGTCGCTCTTTTTAGTTTGGTAGACCGAGTTCAAGGCTTACGAGGAACTATGTGGTCCTGAGAAGTATTTCATTCAGAGCTGGTATAAACTTAAATAAAAGAGGATTTATTGAAATAAATACTAAATAGGGTGATACAATGTAACTAGTAATGTGTAAATGATGTACAATTTCTTTGGTATCACACTCAATCTTTTCCCTCACTGACAGGGATCTTTTCATGTAACTTTGTAACACTTGTTTATCTCAATGCCATATATGTTCACTGTTTCACTCCAGTCTGTTATGACACTCAGACTTTCCTTTAACTTTACTTCACTTAAACTTTACTTTACTTTTTCCTATACATTCAGCTTTCAGCTCTCTTTCTCTTTCTCACTGAACAACCGCAGCTGTCCACTTCTAACTGCTTCAACACAGAACAAACTAACTCAACATCAACTGTCAACTTCTAACTGAAACTCTTGACTGACTCACATACTCATCCAACCAGATTCATTTCCAAAACCCCTCCCCCTCTCTTTCAACCACTAATAATACCACACTGGCCTCTCTCAACCACTCAAGTCTATCTACCACAGCCATGCAACCAAACTTTTAAAGAGACACACGCACACAGAAACAAGGAATCATTACAAGTCTCTTCCATTGGAGGAAGACTCCTTGGTCCAGCTGCAGAACAGGGCTGGCATCAGCAGACCTTGAGGCAGGGGAGCTGCCAGGGCCCCACTTCCTCTGACCAGTTGCCCTCACACCTGTCCTGCCGCCTGCCTGCGTGCCCTTCCCCATCTTCTGCTTGGCCTTCCAACACCCAGACCCCTGCCATGTGCACCACCCAGTGACATTGGGGAAGGGCATGCAGGTGGTGCAGAATGGTAGCATTTCGGGCAATGGCACTGCCCAGCCCCACATGGCTTGGTACCATTGGGGAAAGTGCATGTGGGAGGGTTCCTGGGCAGAAGAAGGGCATTTGGTTTCCAGGTCTCCCCTGGCCATCGGCAGGGGATGGGGAGGCAGGGTTGCCAGCTTCAGGTTGGGAAACTCCAGGAGATTTGGGGATGGAGCCTGGGGAGGACGGGGACCTCACTAAGTGGCGTACAGAGCCCACCCTCCAATGCCTCCATTTTCTCCAGGGGAGCTGATCTCTGTAGTCTGGAGACGAGCTGTAATTCTGGGGGGGTCCCCAGGTCCCACCTGGAAGCTGGCATCCCTAGGCAGGCAGGTGGGCCGGAAAGAAGGGGCCAGTGGGGACCTGGTGGTGGGTGGAATAGAGTAGAGGGACCCTGGATTGCCCCTGCCCAGGGACCTCCTAAACCTGGAACCGGCCCTGCTCTGGAAGAGTTCACAGGTAGCTAACCACGGTAAGATTTAAGAAGAAGAGATTGGATTTATACCCTGCCCTTCACTACCCAAAGGAGTCTCAGAGCGGCTTACAAACTCTTTTCCCTTCCCCTCCCCACAACAGACACCCTGAGGGGTAGGTGGGGCTGAGTACTTTTTAAAAAAGAAAGATAAAAGAAAAACCGAAAATACACCACAGTGATGAGGTAATGTGACCAGCAGAAATAATGGGTTAGATTCAAACTAAATTTTCTGCTAACAGAAGCAGTGGGGTAATCTCCACCCATTCCCCCTTCCTTCTGGCGGCCCCTGAGTTGACTTTTCTGCCTGGGGGCCGCTTTGTTGCAGAGAAGCAGTATTGGGGGGGGGGAAGCCCAGCAGGAACTCATTAGCATAATAGGCCATACCCAACAACAGAAACTCATTAGCATATTAGGTCACACCCCTGACAGCACAGCTCATTAGCATATTAGGCCACACCCCCATGTTACCAGAAGTGTGGTCATCCGGCCACACCCACCTTTTGCTTCTTATTCCGTTTACCTTGTTTGTTGTCAAAACCCAGGGCCTTTTTTTATAGCAGGGACTCCTTTGCATCTTAGGCCACATACCCCGAATGTAGCCAATTCTAGTGCGTTTCTGCTGTTGGATGTGGCCTGTCATGCTAATGAGCTCCTGCTGGGCGTGGCCAACTCAGGAGCCAGCTGGAACTCCGTTCCTGTGTGTTCCTGCCCAAAAATAGCCCTGGTCTTGTGTGAGTAGAAAGTTCACTCGGAACCAACTCAACATGAAGCTACAACAAGAGCCGTTAGAAGCATCACTCACGTTGTAAACACTTCGTGAAGAAAATACCACTTTTGCCCAGCACCTTG